GTCTCATGACCCTCTTCTCCTCTGAAGTCAAAGCCCCTGGGAGAAAAGAAGGAATACAAGGTGGGCGGGAGGGGCGGAGGGAGTCTTTTCTTTCTATGCTTCCACTAAATGATGCCGGATAGCTTGGCCTCCATTATTCTCATTGATTTTTCATTTGAGAATTCACATCTGTGCATTTGGCAATAATGAAGCCCCAAAGAAAAAGACCCGGCAGATACTGGGAGGGTTTGTGCTCCGGCTTGACTGATGACCGTCTTTAAAGCTGAAGTGAGATCACACTCATTGGCTTGATGGCAGCGCTAAGTCAAATGGCTGGGTCAGGAATATATGCAATAGCTCCCGGGCCACAGAAATTGGATGCATTTATCTAATCAATGGCTTTTGGCAGCTACCGATGGTACAAGTGGACTCTGGGTTCAAGTGTCCAGGAGGTGTCGAGAAGGGTTTTGTTGGAGTAGGAGAAGCTCCTAGGGTCTCAGGGCGGTGTGTGGGGTGGTATGGATGGTTTGTTTCCGGAGGTCACTTCCTGGTCACCAGGACAGAAGGGACCCTGCCTTTGACGGAGGCTCTCTCGCTGCACACGGAACGGGTGCTGCAGACAGCCAGAGCAAGAGGTAGCCACTCTTAGCGATGTCTGGGGGGGCTTGGGGGGCTTTCCTGTGGGAAGTCAGGGAGCAGGAGGTGCTCAGCGCTGTCATCTCTGATGAGTCCTGAGGGCTGGGAGCCTTCGGTGACCATGACCCGGAGCCCAGTCTTCCTGGAGTCAGTCAGCCCATTGGCCACCAGCTCCAGGCCACACCAGACTGACCCTCAAACTCACGTCATACCCAGACCACTGAAATCAGGATTCTGGGGGGAGTCTGTTAATAGAGTCTGAGATGAGCTCAGAGTGCATCCAGGATGTAAATCACAGAAAAGATAAATTGAATTAAGGGGGCAAGAAGGCAGCTTAGGCATTAGGGCGCATGGGGGCACCCAAGTGTGGTTTGTTCCCTGGCATCACAAGGCCCCGGGATAGCACGGGCGGGGGGTCCCGGGGCCCCCTCAGCACTGTATCCTTGGTGCTAGCATTCATTCATCTGGCCCACTCGCCACAAAACTACCAGGAGTAGCCCCTGGGCCCAAATTTTAAAAATTAAAATTAAAATAAATTTAAACATACTTTTAAGTATTAAAATTTTTTAAAATATCATTTTGGGGGCTGAAGAGATGGTACAGTGGGTAGGGTGCTTGTCTTGCATGCATTTGGCCCAAGTTGCATGCAGCTGACCTGGGTTCGATCCCTGGCATTCCTTATGGTCTCTCAAACTCCGGCAGGATGACTTCCTGAGTACAGAGCCAGGTGTACCCCTGAGCATCCCTGGGTATGTCCCAAACCACCTCTCACTGCCCCCCCAAATCATTTCAAACACTTTTTGTTGAATGCTGGGAGATAGAATCCAGAGCCTTATTCATGCAAAGTATGTGTTGTATTACTGGCCTCCATAATTATCTTTGCATCAAATTTAGAGTTTGCTTCTGAATACTTTAGAGGCTACCAAAATGTCACTGCATACATCACCCCACCCAGATGACTCCCACCCAGATGATCAACTGTACCTCTTCTTAGCAGGGCAGAGTTTTGAATGATGAAAGAGCGCACAAACAAAGGTAGGCCGGCACCTCTGGGCTGGGGAGCATGGGGAGTGACCCCTGCAAAAGGATTCTGAGGGGTGACCACATGCCATTGAATCCTGACACCAAAATACCGGCTATGGAGAACCTGGAGAAAATTTGGGGAAAGTTTCATTCAGACCAATGGCTGAATCTTAGTTCTGAGAAATCAGCACATGGTCTATAAGACATTAACTATCTTTGCAACTCTTCTAAATGTCTATTTCAAAATAAAAGACTAAAAACCGATGTTTAAGTAGTACAATATTGGGGGGAGGAGGGACCTGAGAGATGGTACAGTGGCTAAGACTTGCCTTGCATGCTGCGACCCAAATTTGATCCCTGGCACCCCATATTGTTCCCTGAGCACCGCCAGGAGTAACTCCTGAGTGCAGAGCCAGGAGTCAGCCCTGAGCACTTCTGGGTGTGACCCACAACACAATGAAGTACAGTATTAGGCCAGAGAGAGGCTGAGTGCGGTGGGGGGGCCTAGGGTGGATCCTGGGAGCTGGGAGTAACCCCTGAGCCAGAGTCAGGAGCAGCCCCCGAGCACCACCAGATGAATCCCGTAAAACAGGATGGGGGAAAGAATAACACTAACTCTGTTAACACTAAGCCAGGACACAATGCTGAACTTCTTGGGACAGAAAGTCCCACACCAAGAATGTAGGCATCTAATGAACGGATACGACTTAAGGTGTGAGAGAAACTTCTAGTAACTGCCAATTTGCCACCTACATTCTGCTTCAGGCAGGCCTTCCCCGGGGCCAGGGCAGAGCCTCCAAAGCACCAGCAGCAACAAGCAAGAGCTGGGCCGGCTGGGCCAGTCTGGGACGCCTGAGAACATTTCCAAGGATTGGTCTGCTTTGGCGGCCTCAGGAAACGGGCCTTTATGGGGGCGGGGGGTGCTCTACCATGAGCTGGAGGCAAGGAAACAACTTTTGCTGCTCTGCTCTTAGCTGACAATGGGCAGCATTTCCACAGCAGCCGCGTGGACTAAAAAGTCTCTTATGCTCCCTCATGCCAACATGCATGCAGGTCACAGAGCACAGGTGCAGTGCGGAGTCACGGCGATGACAAGGCCCTGCTCACAGCCGGCTGTGCCCGACCAAAGCTGGGGAGAAGGACAAAACAAATGCTGACACTTCCTGGCAGAGGCCTGGCCTGACCATGATGGGTGCCACTTCCTCCCGCCCCCGGCCACTAGGAGAGGAGCTGGCCAAGCGGCACAGGTGTCCCCTGGCCCAGTTGACGATGGCCTGAGTCACGGCCTCGCTTGGCTCTTTGTTTCTGTCTCCTGGCTCTGGTCTCTGGGGCCCGCTGTCCATCCCCGCCCCTGCCCCCACCATTTCCTCTGGCCTCTGCCATTCGCTGTTTCCTGCCTGACTCAGGCCCCATCACTCAGATCTTTTTTAGGAACCTCCACAGCTGCGATTCCTGCCCACTAGCTGCCCGCCACTCAGACGGCGGCTGGAGAAACCCACCCGCGCATCCTGACATGGGCCAGACGGGGCCTCGCCCGGGCACAGAGACCCACAGCCCGGCCACCCCCACCCCTGGCCTTGCTCAGGGTACGGGTGCTTCCCCTGGGCACATGCACACTCTTGTGCACATGTTCCACACACTCATGTGCATGCACGCTCATGGCCCCAAGCAAACGCTCGGGTGTGTGGGCGATTTGCCGCCCCCAGGCAGGCTTATGTACACACCTGCACACACGCATGCTTTTCTGGCGGGTGGGAGAGCAGCAGAGTCTGTCCCTGGCTGCTCCCCTGTGCTCCTCCCTCCTGGAGAGGGGGCCAGAGTCCCGCGGGGGGTGAGGGTCAGGAACCCATAGATTTCTTACTCAAAAGGGGAGCATCTAATTGGGGGCTTAGCGGGTTCAGGGGCTCCTGCCGGAGACGGAGCCGGAGCCAGGAGAGGGGAATTAATCAGAAAGACGATGGCTAATTGGCACGTGTGGCTTCCTCCTAATTAGTGCAAGATGCCTGCCAAGCACAGGCGGCTGTGGTGACTCCGGGAGAAAGGGCAGAGCAGGCATGGGGCGGGATGGCGACCGGTCAGGACCACCCCAGCTCTGCGCCCACGCCCCTCGGAAGCCCACCCCTGTGTTCTGTCTGCTCCTCAGCGCCACCTGCAGACACAGCGGGTTCTTCTAGAACCTCTCCTCTTTTTACACTGGCCCACCTTGAGCTTCCTGCTCTCCAGAGAGATGGGATTGTGCCAGCACAGGCACCCCCCAGACCACACCCGCTCCCAGGGGTCCCCCATTCCAGCTGGAGTCTCCTCCCTGGAGCATCTCCCAGGGGAGAGAGAGAAAACAGGCACAGACCACTACCCCACACTGCCTGACATGGACCCCTCCCCACCTTGTCCAGCCTGCCTCGATGGCTCTGGATGTGTGTGTGTGTGTGTGTGTGTGTTCGCATGCACGTGTGTGTCTGCGTGAGTGTGTGTCTGCATGATTGTGTGTGTGTATGCGTGCATGTGTGTGTGTGCAGAGCCTCCCCCAGAAAGCCTTGTCCAGCCACTCAGGGTTTTAGAAAAACCTCCTTTGGTCTGCAAAGGATCTGGAGATCATGTGTGTGTGCACGTGTGTGCATGTACGTGTGCACATGCAAACACAGAGTAAAGGAAATGATGGAACGCTTTCTTACAACAGCTGATTCTTATCTAGAATTGCCGAAGGTGTTCCCCGAACTCTCTTGGGAACCGCCCAATATGAGGGACACTGAAACTGCAGAAAAGGAGTTCCTCACCCTCTGTGTGTGAAACAGAAGCTGAGAGCCAAGGGGAGTGAGCGTGGTGAGCGTTGGAGGAGAGTCTGGGTTTATCTCTGCATCCGCCTTCGGTTTAGGCCGTCAAACTGCCTAAAGGAGTTCATTTTTGAGTCCATCACCACAGTCACTTCCTGTTATTGTTATTCCCAACACTGAAGAGGAAAACTTGATTTCCAGAGTTTTCATTTAACACACTCAGACAAATACACTCTTAAGGAAACATTCCAGTTCAGAACACGGACTCCTCCCCACCTGACCCAGCCTGCCTCCTCGAGGCACTGGTTGAATGTGGTGTGTGTGTGTGTGTGTGTGTGTGTGTGTGTGTGTGTGTGTGTGTGCGCGCGCGAGCGCAGAGCCTTCCCCAGAAAGCCTTGTCCTAAACCCGCCTGATGTTCCGGTCTAGTTTGCCCCGTAAGTGATGCGTTTAGCATCGCCCTAATTATACGCATCAGTGTTCTCTGAAGTCACAGATGAGCCGGGGCTGACCCCAAGCGGCTGTGGCTGACCACTGGGCCAGGGACACTTCTGGGTCCAGCATTGTCCCCATGTGCTCTGGGCAGCACTTACGTCTCGTCCGTGAAGGCGATTCCAAAGTACTCCTTTTCCTTCAGGTTGAAGTGAGACGCCACGAGGTCAAGCAGCTCCTTGGCTAAAAGCTTGGGCTGAGGGAGAACGAGAAGGGGAAAGAGTAAGTACTTTCCCCACCAGCAGGCAACCTGGGTGAAATTTTAAATACAAATATACCAATGCAAATGAGCTTTCTTTTCTTTCTTTCTTTCTTTCTTTCTTTCTTTCTTTCTTTCTTTCTTTCTTTCTCTCTCTCTCTCTCTCTCTCTCTCTTTCTTTCTTTCTTTCTTTCTTTCTTTCTTTCTTTCTTTCTTTCTTTCTTTCTTGGTTCTTTGGGTCACACACCTGGCAATGCTCAGGGGTTACTCCTGGCTCTGTACTCAGGAATCACTCCTGGTGGTGCTGGGGATCGAACCCAGGTTGGCCAAGGCAAACGCCCTCCCCACTGGACTATTGCTCTGGCCCCTGCAAATGAATTTTAAAACACCCAAAGGTGTAAGACACCTGATGAACAAGTAGCCACCTGTAGGGCTATCAGCCCGATTGTCTCAGAGGTATGCCTGTCAGGGTGGTACTCACCCCGCAGGACTGGGAAACTCTGGGACTTACCTTCCCCACACAGAGCATTTAATCATGAACTGACAGGAAGACAAATTTCCTTAAAAAAAAGAATCCATCCATTACCCACCCATCTACCTACCCGCCCATCCATCCATCCATCCATCCATCCATCCATCCATCCTTTCCCCATCATATCTTTAAAGGTCATTTGCTCCATGTGTCTCTGTTCTAGGCTCTCTAGAAATGTCACCACCATCTTTAATCTTCATCACAACTCCATGAGAGGGTACTAGTATCAACCCCACTAAGGGTGAAGAAAAAAAAAGGAGCCCAGGGATGAAGTGAAGGTTGGAGCAATTCATTTTGAATCATGGCTCAAGAGATTCTGCCCTCCATCACATTCTGTCTGTTCGCAGTTATGTCAACTCCAAAGAAAGTACCTCTGGAGGGAATGCCCAGAGCCAGGCCAGTCAGGAAGCTGGGGAATACAATTTATGGATGAACTGAAAATCCATCTTCTGTTTGCATTTGCTTTTCCAAAGAAGAAAAGTCTTTCCCTGATGAATGTTTGTTGTTGGTGGTGTGTGGTGGTGCCGTGGCAGGTGAGAGGGGATGCCTGTGGGTGCTCAGGGACCAGGCGGTGCTGGAGATCAAACCCCTGGGCCTCATGTGCAAGGCACGTGGCTACTTCTGTAACCATATTCCTGGGTCCATGATTATTTCTACCATAAACTCCCTTAAATATCTCTGCCACGGTTGAATCAATCCTACAGTGGGGAGGGTGCTTGCCTTGCATGGGGCCGATCCAGGCTTGATCCCTGGCACCCCATCCACAGCAAGCACCACCAGGAGTAATTTCTGAGCACAGAGCTAGAAGTAACCCATGAGCATTACTGGGTATGGAACCAACCCCCTCCCACAAAAACAAAATCTCTGCCAATCCAAAGGAGTGTGCCAAGACTCCAGGCATGAAATCACTTCGTGTGTTTACATTGGCAATACTTCATTCACTTCAGTCTGCTCTGAAATAACCATAAAACAAGCAGTGCTCAGGTGGGCCATTGATGGAGACAGGGGCTTCACAGGAATTGCTATTTCTCAGTGATCCCAGGACCAAGCAAACACACTATCTTTACAACAACTGTGCTATTCCAAGCACACTCATTAAACAGCCAAGCTCCAAGCTCGCAACAAAAATAAACAAAAGATTCCAGAAAAATGTGTGTGTGTGTGTGTTTGTGCACGTGCACGTGCATGGACACATATTCACACATTCACACATACTTCCTGAGTCTATCCCCTACCCTGGTGGGTCTCTGTCAGAATTCTTTGTTGGGAGTGAGAAAGACGAATAAGACACAGAAATAAAAGTGTCGGTTGGTTGATATGGACAGTACAGTATTCTCCCCCAATCAACGGGTTCAAGTCCTGTCTCCCACTGCAGTGATGTCTGGAGAAAGGGCTCTTGGGAGGTGACAAGCATGACATCCTGAGGACAGTTCTCTGAATGGAATCTGGATCTTTACAGAACAGGGGCAGAGAACGTTCCAGAAACTAGGGGGTCTGGCTCTGAGGCATAATGAGTCAGACACGGCTGCGTCTCATTGGCTGTTTCTGGCCTGTCTGCCTGTGGTATATGACTCGACAGTGATGCTACAAACAAGCATACAAGCGGCCTCGGTCACAGGAGATGGAGGGCAGCACCTGCTCCCTCCCCAGCACGGGAGGTCACAGGCAGGAGGCTGTTGCTGCCAGTCAGGAAGGACACTTGGCCAGAGCAAGGGACAGCTCCCAGCTTCCACTCTCCAGCCCTTGGAACCCAGGAGAGCCCATCTCTGCTGCGTCTGTCCCCTGGGCTGGGTCACTCTGCTGCGGCCACTCAGAGATGTTGGCACTGACAGTGAGTTCATCCCACACTTGGCCGTGAGCCTGATGGTTCCATGGGAAACTGGGCACAAGCCCCTCTGAGGAGATGTCAGTCGAGGTACTGAACTTCGGACAGAAAGACAAAAACGAGGAACAGGAACTGCTCGAAGTAAAGCAGGGGGAACAAGAGTTTGTTCTGAAGAAATAACAGCTGCCGACACCCCAAACCCAGGGAAGCAAGGGGATACTCCAGCCTTTAAGTTGAGCAGGCACCCGGACGCCGGTCAGTGCAGCTCCTGGTCAGAGGGAACTCTACGTGGGTGAATGAGAAGTCTGCAAACGAAGCCTTTCGAGAGAACCTTATGCAGAGCCCAGGCCTCCTGTCAGAGGAGCCCCACACAGTAGCTCCGGCAGACAAGACTGTCTCTGAGCTGGGTCAAGAGCAAACGGAGCTTCACTCAGGGTATTTGCCCCCAGCCCTCCCTCTCCTTCCTCCAGCTCCGCTGGTGCATGCACAGACCTCTGCCATGAAACCTGCACCACTTTGAAACGACTCTTGCATTTAATATTCTCTCTCTCTCTCTTATTCTCTCCCCCCTTCTCTCTCTTCTCTATCTTTCATTCTCTCTCCCCCCTCTCTTCTCTCTCTCTCCCTCCTCCCTCCCTCTCTTCCTCTGTCTCTGTCTTCTCTCTCTCTCTCTCTCTTTCTCTCGAAAGGCATGGGATGGGAGTCTGCCTCGTGTCCTGTTTTTCTGTGGATCGAGGTGGCGGGGAGGGGGGAGAGGCGTGGGGAGTCTCTGAATCAATGATGCTGAGCAGGGCGTCTTAGAAGCCCGGCTTGTGAGGGAGCTGTAGTAAGCGCCGGGCACTCATTGGCCGATCATTACCTAGGCGGAACGCTCATTGGCTGCTCATTATCACTGGGGCGAGCGCTCATTGGCTGTTCATTTCCCTGGGGCGAGCGCTCATTGGCTGCTCATTACTCCATCGCATGGATGAGGTCATCCTCAGCCCGGGGCGGCTGTGCCAGCATCCCTGATGCCCCCCTCAGAGCCCAGGCTTCTTGCTGCTGCTGCTGTGGCAGGGGCAGAGGGAGGTCAGAGCTTCATGCAGGCGGATGAGGGCAACCGGGGGCATAGCAGTGACGGCAGGTCCTGACAACAGAGCCCAAAGGGCACCGTTTCTAGCAAATTCTCCAGGAGTGCATGCACAGGTCTGAACCCGCGGGAAGGCTGGATTCCACGCAGAACCAGCGAGGCCATTTTCCCCAACTCGCTTAGATGACAGGGAGGCGCAGAGGGGCGGAGAAGCCTGTCTGCAGACACGGCAGGTCACCCTGGGGGCAGCACAGGACGGGCCAGGCCAACTGTGGGTCCTTCTGTCAGTGGTGGGGGTCGGGGGCAGGGGAGCAGGTGGGACACCGCCAGAAGGAAAGAAAACCAACATGGATCAGTGAGCAGGGGGTCCCGGTAGGCAGATGCAGATGGGGATGAGCATCCTGCCCCTCCCCTGCCTTCTCCCTGGCTGCTGTCTCTCCCCACCCCCACCCTGCCATCCTCTGCGGCTCCGGCTGAGCCTGGGGCTTTATCTCATTGTGTCTTGAGCTCCTGCCAAGCTTTAAAGATGAGGATACTGAGGCTTAGGATGTTGGTGAGCTCCAGGGTATCACAGGAGCTGGTGGAAAAGATTTATTTCCTTTTTAAAGTTTTTCAGTATCAATTTTGCAAACCACAATGCCCACACGGGGAGAGAGTGAGCGAGAGAGACAGGGACAGAGAGACAGAGAAATGGACAAAGAGAGAAAGAGAGAGAGACAGAGAGACAGAGGGAGACAGACAGAGACAGAGAGAGACACAGAGAGAGGAAGGGAGAGAGAGAGAGAGAGAGAGAGAGAGAGAGAAAAGAAGAAGAGAAGGCAGGCTGGTGGGGGGGTGGTAGCGAGAGGAAACGTGGGGACACGGGTGCTGGGAAATGTGCACTGGTGGAGGAATAGGTGTTGGAACACTGTAGATTGAAATCTAACCATGAACAGCTTTGTAAAGGTCTATCTCACAGTGATTCAATAAAAAAAAAACTTTTTTGGTGGTGAGAGGCCGATTGAGGTTACATCTAGCGATGCTCAGGTCTCGCTCCTGGCTCTGTGCTCAGGATTCACTCCCGGAAGTACTCAAGGGATTCTAAATGACGCTGGGGATGTGAACCCTGGCCAGCTGTGTGCAAAGCAAGCGTGGCCCTACCCACTGTACTATCTCTCTGGTCCAGAGTGTTATTTTTAAAATACTGAGCACACAGCCAGCACGTTGCAAATAGCTCAAAGCTGCTTTTTCTAAATGCAAGAGAATTTCATAGATGTAAGCACCCTGCAGAGGAGGGCGGGAGCGGGGAAGGGTGCAGGCTTATGGTGTTTGGTTGTTCTCAGCCTGGAGCAGGCCCTGCCACACACTCTGGGCAGGCAGCTTGGGGCTAGGGGCTTAATCCATTCTTACCCGGCCAGTGGGAAACATGAAGTGGACACTCAGGCCAGGCTGCGTGGAAGCACAGACCATATGGTGGGGCTCTGGGCGCTGGATGGGACCAGACGGAAGGTGCCCAGATGCTCAGGGCAGTGGTCCTGCCTGGTCACAGACCTCCTGGTGGAGGCTGGGGGCCACCCTGGCAGCATTCTCCT